CTTAGTCGTTTTTAAACTATTAACTTTAAAAATCATGTACTTTATAATTACTTATAAATGGAAATTTTCTTAACATGTGCCATTAATAAGAATAATTTAGTAAAAAATAAAAAATTTAAGAAGATAAATTGGAAGAAGAACTTACTTTTAGAAACAACTCCCAAACTAACTCAAAATATTTTAAGATCACTGAGTAATAATTAAAGCAAAACAAAGTCTTCCTCAGTTCTCAAAAACCTTCCGTGGGTACGTCTCTGCGTATCAATGGGGATCACCTGTCTTTCTCCTCCTTCTTTTCCATTTGCATCTTCCACCAGAACCCACCGCTTCTTTGTTGGGCAAGTCGGAGTCGTCAACAATCCTCCAGGTTCTTCTTATGAAGCCACCGTCATCTCTCACGTCTCCGACAACGGCTCCTACGTCGCCAAGTACAACACACTCTTGGACGGCGACAGTTACAGTTTCCTCACAACTGACGGTTTACCCTACTAACTGCTGGCAACACCTGCAAAAATAACAAAAAAAACATGATTCGGGTTGTGTTCAAGGACACTGTCCTTTAGAGTTATTCCACTACACAAGTTAAAATAAAAGGCAGCACTTCTTAGGATTCCCAAGATTAAACAAACCCTTCCTACGTAGAGCAAAATGACAAATCAGCAGAAATTTGAAACTCAGGAGAAGAGAGAGAAGAGGAGAGCTTGGGGTAGAACTCAACCTGCTCAGACTATACACCACACATTGCCTTTTATAAGCAAATAATATGTGACCGTTGGGCTACCATATAATGGTGATTAAGTATGGTTTTAATGATACTTAAAAAGACAGTTTTTAAACAATTAATTAAAGTGAATTAAAACATTTTAAAGCTATTGAATATGGTTTATGAAAGAATAAAATTGACTAATTAAGATATATAAATGCTTCAACGGTCATTTCTAATTATCAATTTAAAGACTTCTTTTCATAGCTATTTTATTAGCTCAAACTCACATCTTACTACATACTAAGGTTTTCTCAATCTTGAGTACTATAAAACTGCTTTTGACACACTCACACACACTAAAACTCTAACACTAATCTCCGTCCAATTCTGCCGCCGCTCGTCGTTTCACCAGCCGGCTTCTCTCTGAACCAAATGCTGGACGCTTGCGATAATGAGGACTGGCGGATCACGACCGTCACCGCAAGAAGAGGCTCCGATAGTCCGATTACGATTATGTTTACTGTGACGTCGTGGACCGTGACCTTGGGTTCCATTCTTCTGGGCTTAGGGTTCATCAAGATTGGATTGGTGGATGCTGGGTTTTGCCCTAGAGGTTTCAAGTTTTGATTCTTTTCGTCATCTGACCCTCTCTCTAATTTTTTTAGCGTTTGTTTGTACGACAGTTGAAAGTAGTTATAAATCATAAGTGCCAGCTGCAACGAGCGGTGTGTAGCAAAGAAACAAATTCCGAACTGCTGATATTGAAGCTAATCCAAGGTATATATCCTTATCAGTTTTATTTTGTTTATTTTATTTTTTTCCCAAAAATTGTTTCTTACTTTAAATTTTAGTGTGGTTTTATTTGAATGAAACTTGGGGTATTTTTGTTTTTGATACAGTCCGTTTTAATCATAACTTTATCACCCTAATTGTTCACGTGTTCAATAGAAGTAGGTTATAAATAAAAATATGTCAAATAAAAATTATTATAATATATTAAATTCCATTATTGTGTTGTCGAATATTAACTACTTTCCTTTTATTGAACAACTAATAATGAAGAATCATTATTTGATTTGAAAATCTACATATACTTTCCTAATAATGATTAATGAAGAATCATACTTTCCTATTTCATCCTTCTTCAATTACGACTCTAATTAATTCATTCTGCAATAACTTCAACTTTTCCTAATCCATTCACAAAGCAATATATCGTCTTCCACTCTTCCTCACTTCTGAAACTCCAAAACCCTCCTTCTTGTCTCTGTATCAATGGGAATCGGCCCCTATCCTTCTACTTCTTCCTCTCCGTCCATGCCTCCTTCTGCAGTTTCCGTCGCACCCAAGAGCTTCTCCGCCGGTGAAGTCGTCGAAGTCATCAACAAGCCTCCAGGCTCTTACTATGAAGCTACCGTAATCTGTCGTCTGGCCAATGGGTCCTACATCGTCGAGTACAACGCACTGTTAAACGACGAAGAAAATTACAGCTTTCGCAGAGAAACCGTTTGCCCTAATGATCTTCGCCCTCTGCCGACATCCATTCACATTTCAACCACTGGGTTTTCTGTGAACCAAATTGTGGATGCTCACGACGAGGAAGGTTGGTGGCTCACTAAGATCACCGGAAGAAAAGACTCCGACCCCGATTGCTATTTTGTTTACTGTTACTGGAATCCCGTGGACTGTGACGTTGAGTTCCATTCCGGTGAGCTTAGGGTTCATCAAGAGTGGATTGGTGGAGATGACTGGGTTTTGCTGTAGTGGTTTCGAGCAGTTCTTGATTCGATTCACTATCTGAATCCTTTTTTAGTTTAGATTTCTTTAGAGATCTTTCCCTAACGTTTTGGAGGCAGTAGTTTGTGTTAGTTGGATATTTCTTGTGTTTCAAGTTAGTGTGATCTTTAATTTCTAATTGCGGTTCTTTCTTGGGGGTGATTAATCATTGATCAGATTATTTGATTTTGATTTTCGAGAACCGGAGAGTTCAGAATTTATTAATTATTCAAAATATAAGATTTTTACAGGTTAATTTTTGTTTTTTTATGAGAGCATCTTAATGTTTGTTGGGTAGCTAAATATATATATATATATATTTGATTTGATAGATCAATTGATTTACAATGAGATTTCTATTTTTTAAAACGAATTAAACATTCACTATTTTTTTTTACAAGTGAATAATACTTTCTGGTAAATTTTATTATTATTTTTAATTAAGCATAATTGTTTTTGTCTGTTCCTTTTTAATATAATCCAAGCGCGGCAAAATAAATCCAAATAACTCGCAAAATAAATTGTATTCAAATGAGTAAAACGGCTAGCTAGATACCATATATACAACAGTCAAACAAGATGGCAAAGGGCAAAAAAACAGTCAAACAAAACAAAACAGAGCATATATCTCGGGTTCTGTAACTTAACTCAACCAATCCCATGCAACTTGAAAAAAGGTTATTGATAAATAATAAAAGTTGATTGTAGCCAAAGTCACTTGGCTCTAACACAGTATTAACACCAAATATCTCCTTAAATGTAACTTAAGTACTGCTCCCTCCCTTATTATAAAATCTTTTTAATTAAATTACGTATTTTAAAAAATTAGTTAAAATTAGTTAAAAGCAATTAATATGTAACAAATGTAATTCTTTTTCAAATATACCCCTATATATAAATAAGTAAATATGAGAGAGTAATAGTGAGATAAATGAAGAAAGAGAATGTATTAAATGTATTAAATTAGAGGTAAAATAGGTAACAATGCATTAAATGTCCAGACAAACTAAAAAAAAATCTTATAAAAAGGGACAGACTTAGTAAAAAAATTGAATCTTATAATAAGAGATGGAGAGAGTAAAAAGGTTGCATGTTAAATTAAATTCCTTGTAATGGGTGTGTGAATTTATTCTGATGAGTGGAGAGTTTTTTTTTTTTAAAGTCGATTTTAATTATCATATGTCATTCTAACAGATCATCTATTCATGTTGGGAGAAAACAGTTGGCATCGAAAAAATGTGTTTAAAAAAACTCAAAACACAACATATTAAAACTACAATAGATTTGAGTAGTAAAATGCATGGTGTTAGGAAAACAAAGGTTTGGCAACCAGAAACCAAATACACACCCAATAATTGGCAATTTTATAGCTATACAAAAGATACAATGTAATTAAATTGATGTTCCAATTTTATAGCCAACAAGACAACCCCCCCCCCCCCAAAAAAATGTCATTACTAGATTGAGAGGATTCAAGCTGTGGTTGACCTTTCCTTTCAATATAGATATCGATATTCAAGCTCATAAATAACGCAATTTGAAAGATATAATTTATCACAAGGTTTTTTTTTTCTTGGGGGATGAATCAAACTCTATTTATTTACCAATAATTTTTTAATCCAAACATTATATTATCTCTAGTCCTAATTATAAGATATCGTTTATAGTTTACAAACAAAACTTTATAATTAGGACCGAATGTAGTATTATGATTACAATATGTACCCACGTTGCTTTTTATTAAATATTAATACTAGAATTTCACCCCCAAAAAAAGATTAATATATTAAAATTATAAACAAGTGAATTTGATCCTAATATCAAAACTAACAAGAGAATAATTAATATTTTGGGAAAGTAATCATTTTGTTCACTTTACTTTGACATATTAGATAGACCGATAGAGTTTGAGATGTGATGTGATAGCTATGATTTTATTAAAAAGATTCGCTCTAGTTAAGTTGAAGTATTTACGGGTAATTACTTGTATATAATAATTTTTTTATATTTAATATTTAATATTGAATGGAATTTGATATTAATATTTCTGGTAAAAAAACATTGATATTAATATTAATCGAAGCACATGCACCTTCGCCGGAAAGCATGAGTCAAAATTATCCAATTCTCATAATAGTATAAATGTTATCAAATTATATCTCATAATAAAAATAGAAATAAAATATTTACCATTTCTTATAAATTTAATACTTAATATTGAATGAATATTGTTATGAACACTAATGATGACTTGATGCACATTGGCAATTAGAGTAAGAAATCCAAAGTGAGATTTGATTAAAATTAAAAAGACTTCTGAGTCGGGCCTATATTTCACTTTCACAAGTTGCCTTTTTTGAAAAATAGATAATGAGTAATTATCCACTGGCAAAATAATAATAATGAATCATCATCCAGTGCCCACAAAAAACAAAAAAAAAACTCTGTTACGCTTTCCTGTTTTTAATTTGCCTATAAATATTTCCAAACGGCCACCCCCTGTTTCTTTCGTACCCCAAGTATTCTCTTCATCCAGTTTCGATCATTCATCTATCTTCTCGAATCCCGGGAAAGAAACGATGCGGCCTCCGATCAAGAAAACCAGCTATGGCAGAGGGCAGGGCGTGGAGGTCTCTGTCAAGGAAGAAGGATTTCATGGATCCTACTTCGAAGCGAAGGTGGTTTCTTACCTCGACAATGGGCTCTACATCGTCCAGTACCAGACCTTGCTGGAAGACGACGAGTCCAAATTTCTGACTGAGACTGTGTACCCTAAGGAGCTTCGTCCTCTGCCTCCGGCCATCCCTGTTCGCCGGTTCTCCGTTAAGCAGAAGGTCGATGTGTTCGACAAGGACGGGTGGTGGGTCGGCGTTATCACCCGAAAAGATGGCCCCGACGGTTATTTTGTGTATTTCTGGACCACGGACGAGGAGATCGCTTACCCTTCCTCTCTGCTTCGGGTTCATCAGGATTGGATCAACGGCAAGTGGGTTTTGCCCAAGAAAGCTCGCTCTTAGTTTATATATATATATACACATAGAATCGCTGGGGTTTCAGGAACTACATTTTTTTGTTATGTGGAATTCTGATGTAAGATTTACGAACTATATTTTCTTGTTATATAGGATTGTTCTGAAGGACTGCTCGTTCTTCTTGTGAGTTCTGTAGATTAATTCTGCAGACAGTGAGCTGTTCTTCTTTATGCTCTCAACTAGCTGTTCTTATTACTCCTCGGGTCCTTAATATAAGATTCATTTAACTAATTTGATTAAATTAAGGAAGTTAGGTAAGTTGGTTAATTATAAGAAAAGTGACACATTTTTCCTAAAACACCATAATCATCTTTCTTAATACCCCATCTCCCTCTTTTATTTGATTATGGTTGAGGGAGTATCTATAGGGATAGTTTGGAGAAAATTGATAAATATGAGAAATGGGTTTTATATTTAAGACTAAAACCAACTCAACAATTAGATTCTATATTAAGGACTGGAGGAGTATTATTTTTTCTTCTCATGTAGTTAATCCCTTATGCTCTGTTTTCACATTCTTTTTTTTTTTTTTTTTTTTTTGGCCCAAGAAACCAACATTGTCAGTGGCTGGCTTTGCTTGTCATGTGGCAGACACTTATGCTCGTTGGTTTTGATTCAGGCCTTGGTCCAAAAAAATAAAAAGAAAAATGGATTTTGATTTAGTCCTTGGCTCCTTGCTATACTTTTTTTTTTTGGGGCAATCCTGGCTAGTATATCTTCTTGGTATAGATTCTTTTACTGTGTTCATCATCTAGATATGAAGATAATAAAGAATCAGATTTACAAGATTTCGCAGTGACTAATGATTATGATTTGAGGAGTTGTTATTATTATTATTATTATTATTTTGTGTGCAGAAGATGATTCGTCCATCTCTCTCTGTTTTTTTTTCATCCCTAGCTCTAGATGGGATACGATCCAGGTTATGAAGGTCTTCTGGTGCGTACCCTTGCCCTTGGGTTCAGCTGGCAAAAGAATTAGACACTCTTATAATATGGAGGGGTTTGATCCTGAAGTTGGTCGAAGTGTTAGGGAAGACATCTTCACAGCTTAAAAAAATTGGGAGATTCCTACTTATTGGGCTAAATGAAAAAGAACTTACTTATCATGTTTTCCTAACTGTAGGGACAGACCTTAACGAATAATGAGTTAGTTTTTTTTGCTCTTGAATTATAGGTGAACCTGACCCCTTCCTAAAATTTAACCCAAAAAAAAAAGTCTTCTAGTGCTTTGTTTTAGTTTCTCATATATCAGTTAATTTAAATTAATATATCAATCAATTAATTGGTCCATAAATCAATTAATATATCTTTATCGCCAATATCAGCATATAAATATATTCAATCACCAGTAGTTTAAATTATATGTATGATATAAAAGTTGTAAAAAAGTTATGCACCTTATTATTTTTGATAGCATTCAACCACCATGGAACCTCCAAAATCATTTTTAAAAAATGTAAATTGAGACAAAATTTTCCACACATTTATCCCGACTCTCTAAAATCACTTCTAAAAAGCTAATATAAACACGCATATACTTGTCTATATGTACTCATTATGTTATCTAGATGGCATTCAACCATTAAGGTGGCTGGTTCACCCAACTATGGTCATACTAGTCTTAATTAAAATAATGTTTTCAAATAATGCGTATAAAAAGCAAATAACCTAGATAACATTTATTCATCTATTGTCTATTTGTCCAAATATGCCTTCAAATGTTTGTTCATATAATTTTTTTTTTAAAAACCAAAGTTCATATAAGTTCCATACATTACAAACTAACAAGATCTAACACATGATGCCCACTCAAATACTATTTATCCTCTATTACAAATCATTAAAATCATCAAGTATGCCTGATCAATTCTCCAACTAAATTAGCACAAGCTTTCATAATTAACCAGAATTACCAATAAATAATCCAATATATATAAATTTTTTTGGCCAAAATCCAATATATATAATAATATTAAATAAAAACCAATCAAAAGAGAAATAAAACACAAATTAAAATAATTTTGGATTATTTAAAAAAAACAATGTTGACCAATATTAGGCGGTTCACTTTTCCCATGGGTCTAGTGGATGCCTGAGCTGGATCATCGGAATGTTGGACCGGCCATACCAGCGGGTCTGATCCGGTTCATATAACCATCTTCTATTACAGCACATGGGTTCTCATATCTATATTAACTAATTAATTAAGCTTCCTTAATTTTCCCTCTGAATTTGTGGTCCGATAAACCAAGCTTAACAAAGGAAACCTTTGCTTATAAAACAAGAAGAAGGGCATACAATTTCTAACAGGAGAATGAGATCTTTTGAATAGTTAAATATTTTTGTTATTAATAGACTACCTCCGGTCTTAATTATAAGACTATTAATAACAAAAATATTTAACTATTTAGAAGATTTCATTTACGAAAATGAAGTTTTATAATTAGAACCGGAGGTAGTATCACATAAAATGCATGCTAAGGTTAATTTCTGACATTTATAAAATATATATAGAAATTTTTTTATAATTTGATATAATGTAAATTTCCCCTTGTTAACACAGAAGATTGCACCCATAGTAATTAATTAAGGGTCCAAATTTTTAATTAATGTAAAAAACGTGTTTGTTATATCAGTACTAGTCTGAGGATATGTGTGTATATATATTTTCGATCGTTCATTTTGTAAATAGTGACATCTTTTTAAATTGATCAAAATTAAGTTTTTAACATTCAAGGACAGAGGAAAGTTTTATATACAGTTTTAACAAAGCCAAATATACATAAGCAATTAAAAACATGATCGGAGGAAATTAATATAGTGAAAATTAAAATGAACAACATAAGAATATATGCAACTAAAGATGATTTCAACTTAAAACATTTTCAAAAAATCTGTATATTACATGAATTATAATGACTTGAAGGGGGTGTTTGGCAACCCTCAAAATCACTTTTGAAAAGCACTTTTCCGCAAAACAAGGCAAACTCCTCCACATATTTATTTCGTAAACTGTAAAAGCATTTTTGAAATCATGGTTTAGTTTCCATCTAAACATCCCCGAAATAGCAATGCCCTCAATCCATTTATTATTGGATTATAAATATATTGTTATCCCACCAAAAGTTTATTGTTTTTTTGCCCCCAAAAAGGTCAATTTGATTCGTTCAGAAAGAATAAAATTAACATATGTAGGGGTGAGCATTCAGTTTTTTAGTTTGGTTTTCAGTGATAACCAAATTAACTGAATTTTAAACACCGAACCGAAACTGATTAATTAAACAAACCGAAATTGAATTAACTGATTAACTGAAATATATAAATATAAAAAGTGATTTTAAATTAAAAATAATGATGAAACAGAATTACACCCATTAATTAATAAATATTTCATCATTCAATGTGATTTATTATAATAATATTTATTGTGACCATATTTATTAAATATAAATATATTTAAAGAGTTCATATATACCCACATATATTATAATATTTGTTAAATATAAATATATAATATATTTATTTCGGTTTTTTGGTTATAATCAAATTTTTTTTCTATTAACTGAACTGAACACCGAAATCAAATTATTAAACAAATAAAAATTGAATGTATAACCGAAAACCAAAATAGAATTTGGTTCGGTTTAGTTTTTGGTTATGATTCGGTTTTGCTCACTTCTAAACGCATGTAAGACGCATGTATCTTACAGAAGCGCAAGTTTAAGTTTTGTCGTTAGAATTTAGCAAACAAGTTAAATATTTCTATTTTCAGCGGGATAATTATTTTGACCTTAATTATTCTCCCTAGTCATGCAACTTATATAAATTGAAAAAAAGTGCAGAATTTTATATGTTCATTTATTGCTGTTGATATTAATTATATTGACCGCCATATTAAGACATGGCAGTCATGCATTATAGGGACAAATTTAGTTAGACCATGATATTGCTATTAATGACATCAGTTAATAGTTTAAAAATCAATCAAAATTCACATCATAAAACCAAACTAAGATAGCTAAACTAATTCAATATGAATAATACTTTCATTTTACTGTTGCAGTACTTTATCTCTCACATACTATGTCCAATTCTTATTATAAGAATTAGTTAGAGATTAATTTTAATTTTAAACATAAGATTTTAATTCATTTTAATTTATCCCACATACTTATATTTTTTTGTTTTCAAATTATCAGTATTGATTACACATATTAAAGGAATTTGCGTTAAAAGGTAATTTCAATATAAATAATTTTAAGAAAAAATTTAGAATAATCAACACATATTTTTAACAAATAATTAATTTAACAAGTTTTTTAATTTATCCAGATTGATTAATTATATCTTGTATTAATCACAGGAGGTAGTATGATATTTTTATGACTATTTCCATTTCCCCTAACTATAACCACTCAGGGTAATTGTAATTAATGGTTTTTCTAAACTTCAATTTTGATTCAATGCTGCTGGAAAAAAAAAAAAAAACTTTGATTCAATGCATGGTCATAAATATGTATATATATATATACTATCTCCGGTCCTTAATATAAGATATTGTTTGATTTTTATTTTGGTCTTAAATATAAAACCCCAATCTACTTTATTTTTAATATTTATGTATTTTTCTCTAAGATTGTCCTTCTAATAATAATAGTTCTAGTCAACACACTTGATTAGTAAGGATATTTTAGGAAAAGCAATACTTATTTATTACAAATAACTAATTTAATTTATTTTTTTAATCCTCTCAAATTAATCAACTAACTGTTATGATTAGGGGTAATATATATTTTCAATCTCATCAATGGTCACATGCGCGCGCGCGCACATGTCGGAAGAAATTCAAAGTTAGTTTTGTATTCAATGCAGTCACATGTGAATTGTGATTATCTGATGGGACGCTATATATATCAAACTCCAAAGGGAAAGGGCAGCTAAGCAAAGAAGATAATCAGAAGTTATCCATTGAACTGCACACACACTAATTTATGACAACCATTAATGATCTAACAGACAGATTTTGTCTGTTGAGCTGTACGAAGATCAGAAGTAACAGCAGGAAGTAGTAGAGATAGCCGCCGAGGCAGAAGGAAGATGATGTCCGGAGCAAACGAATATTCCAAAATTAAATATAAAACTTGCTCATTTCATTCCTCAAGATTC